TATATATATATATATATATATATATACATATACATATACGTATACGTATGTAAGGGAAGACAAACGAAGAAAAGAAACGAACGAAAGGTAGGACAGGATAGAGATAAAACCGCGAGGACGAGTGCACCTTCGCCGGTCCGTCAATTGTTTTTTGAAAGTAAAATATACTTGCTGTACTTTGTAACTAAACGACAGTTTAAATAATTAAAATTGGACGCGCGGTGTCGCGTTAGTTGCCTACTCGACGAGAAGGTATGATATAATAATTGAGAAAATAAGAAAGAAAGAAAGAAAGAAAGGAAAAAGGAAGGAAAGAAAGAAAACGACGCTTATTGTATCTGTAATGTACAGTGTACACGTACGTAGTGATAATCTATCTTTCTCGAGCGTCGTTCGTGCTCGATCTTTCGAACGAAAACGGAACCACGTGTCCACGCGGATAAACTCGGTACGTGTAGTCTTGAAATTTACTGACGCGGCGTGTGATGTATCGCCAGCTTCGAATTGCCGAGAGACCTTTTGTACCTTAGGATTTTATTCTATTCGCGTGATTGTACGTTAACTATTTGCTGCGTAAAAAGAAGAAAAAGAAAAAAGATCAAAACTGTCGAAAGAACGAAACAAAAAAGGATGGAGGAAGAGATCGTTTCGTAGATCGGCAAAAGGAGAGAAGCACGACAAAGACACGTTTCGGTACGAAATCGGATCGATCCACATCCGGCGTCGCGACTCGAGCGATCGATCGAGCGAATCGTTCGTTCGAGGCAAACGGAAAAAAGAGACAGAGAGAGAGAGAGAGAGAGAAATATCGATTTGCTTGTTCGAACGAATGACGCGCGATCGAAAGCCCGAGACACGTTTGTCGAAACGTTTTTAACCCTTTGCCCTCGGAAACTTTCTTTTCATGTACCACCAACAATTTATTCACAATGAAGCATCACATCAAATAAAATGATACAGCATTGAAGATAATCATTCAAATGATGTTTAACGAAATTTTGTTGATTGTACCTTTGTAACATGTGATATCGTTTAAATTTAAAGCAATCATCAACGCGTGCATTGCCGGTTTCCTAGAACGAGTTTAATATATACAAGAGTTAATGATATA